GGCGGCTGTGGGGTCCTGGAGCTAGAAGTAACTTGAAATGTTTAGTGCTTGTGCACAGATTGGAACCTTTCCTTGGAACCTGAGGATGGAGATGTATATCCTCATTCAAAGGAAATGAAAGTTGTGATAGCATTTCTTCATAGTTTGTCTCTGAATTTCGACTTGTTGGGAGGGATGACAGTGACTTGAAGTCCTGTCTTGTTCAAAATAAAATCTTAATTTTATGACATAATGCAGTTTATTCACTCAAGTAGCATTGTTACTTAATTACAAACTTCAGAGTTACAAGTGTTTCAAAGAACCCTTATATGATCCAGTAAATTGGCTACATTTGCCCCCTTTGACTTATCATTCTCTTTGTATGTATTTATATGTATGGCTTTTTTTCTGAACCATTAGAGAGTACATTGGAGGTATCAAGTCCCTTTATCCTTAAACACAGATCCCTACTACATGGTTTTCCTAAACACATAAGGACATGCTCTTATATAACCAGAGCATAGTTATCCAAATTAGGAAATTTAATATTGATAAAACAGTATAGGGCATACTTTAAAAAATTTTATCTATTAATTGTGGACTTGTTTCATTGTGATCTGTGATGGGTGAGTGGTCTGGTAGGAGACCGGAGTTCTAGCTCGGCCTTGTGACCAGGTATGTGACATTGGTCAGATCACTTCTCTGGGTATTAGATGACCTCTTTTAGCCTCTGGGAGTCCATGATCCTAAATGGTAATAAAACATTTGCCACTAGTGTAGGTGAAACTAACATTGGAAGAAAGGTAATGTTTTTTTGTAAGGCATAGTATCTTTATTAGATGGTACTGATGTTAACATTTGGGAGTTTGAAAATAGATAAAACAGTTTTCTTTATGCTTGGTATTTTCGTTTACTGTTCATTTAAACTTTCTTTATAATGGAGTTTATCCACTGAGTGATTTTTTTTTTCAACTTGTAAGAATGCGAATCTGTGGTAGATGATGTGAATTATTCAGAGGAAGGCTTTAACGTTATTTATTCATACTTGATAGCCAGAATCATAGTTTGTGGAGAGAAGCTTACCAAAATATTTGTGAAAAAATGTTGTTTCTGGGCTTTGTAAAGATCCCCTGAGGGTGGCCGGTTAGCTCAGTTGGTTAGAGCGTGGTGCTGATAACACCAAGGTTGTGGGTTTGATCCCCACACGGCCCGCTGTGAGCTGTGCCCTCCCTAAAAGAGTCAACTATGCCATTGTAGCATGAAAGCAATGTGTAACCAATAACCATGGCTGTTTCCCAATAAAATTTAAAGAAAAAAAATCCCCTGAAATGGATGCAATACATTAGGATCTTGCTTTCAAAGTAGGAAATGATAAGAGGTAAAATATTTCTGTTATTAAGAACAAATCTCAGGTTAGTGTTACTGATACATTTGAGACAAATAGGCCATATATAAGTGGAACTGAAAATTTCCCTTACTCCACACACTTTAACATTGGCTTTTTAGGCTCTGTCTTCATTGTTGTAGATAGCCTGAAATACAGGGATAAGTAAGCTTTTCTTTCCACTGGTGGAGGCAAAGTCAGCTTATCTTTTGAGAGCAAGAACGTGCACACGCTCATACTCATTCACTCACTCACTCACTCACTCACTCACTCACTCACTGGTTACCACACAGTAACCCCAACGCAGAACCTGGGACAGTGGACTAGACAAGGTAGTCTTTAAGCTGACCTTTTTAGCTGATCTTTCAGTAATGTAAGGATGTGGGAAATTCAATGCATTTAGAGTGAGAAGTCTTGTTTGGAAATAAGTTTTATGTAGTTTCCCTACCCTAAGTCTCACTGACATTAACAAAAATTGAAACTGCAAATGATTGACTTCATAAAGCTGCCTGAGGCATCTGATTGTTTAGCATCTAGGTTCCAAGAGGATTTTGCATTGACAGGGTGAACGTCTTTCTTTTCCATAAATTGGAACTCTTGGTAAACATTGTTACAGGGTTTATGTACCAATTTATGTAGGATTAAATCCTCCTACACCATTGATTAAAGATTTTGCTGAGTTCGGTTTCAGCTTGATCTTCAAGCTTCTGTAGAGGAAGACATTTAATGAACTTCAATGAATGGATTGATGTTCTCTAGCTTGGAAATATGTAATTTTACATTAAAGTAAAAAGAAAACAACTGATCACTATCTTGCTAGGAGTAGTTAAGCTTGCCTTTTTTTTTTTTTAATGATTTTATTGGGGAATTGGGGGAGGGGAAAGACAAGTTGCTGTCCTTTTTGTTCTTCAGTCTAGTTGTGGAGGACGTTGCTTCACTGGCAGGCTGCTCTCCTGCCTCATCCAACAGCGTCAGCTTGCTCTCTGTGCCTTCTCGGTGACCTCGATTCAGCCCTGGCACTCCGCCCAACCCCTGCCNATCTTGCTTTCAAAGTAGGAAATGATAAGAGGTAAAATATTTCTGTTATTAAGAACAAATCTCAGGTTAGTGTTACTGATACATTTGAGACAAATAGGCCATATATAAGTGGAACTGAAAATTTCCCTTACTCCACTCACTTTAACATTGGCTTTTTAGGCTCTGTCTTCATTGTTGTAGATAGCCTGAAATACAGGGATAAGTAAGCTTTTCTTTCCACTGGTGGAGGCAAAGTCAGCTTATCTTTTGAGAGCAAGAACGTGCACACGCTCATACTCATTCACTCACTCACTCACTCACTCACTCACTCACTCACTGGTTACCACACAGTAACCCCAACGCAGAACCTGGGACAGTGGACTAGACAAGGTAGTCTTTAAGCTGACCTTTTTAGCTGATCTTTCAGTAATGTAAGGATGTGGGAAATTCAATGCATTTAGAGTGAGAAGTCTTGTTTGGAAATAAGTTTTATGTAGTTTCCCTACCCTAAGTCTCACTGACATTAACAAAAATTGAAACTGCAAATGATTGACTTCATAAAGCTGCCTGAGGCATCTGATTGTTTAGCATCTAGGTTCCAAGAGGATTTTGCATTGACAGGGTGAACGTCTTTCTTTTCCATAAATTGGAACTCTTGGTAAACATTGGTACAGGGTTTATGTACCAATTTATGTAGGATTAAATCCTCCTACACCATTGATTAAAGATTTTGCTGAGTTCGGTTTCAGCTTGATCTTCAAGCTTCTGTAGAGGAAGACATTTAATGAACTTCAATGAATGGATTGATGTTCTCTAGCTTGGAAATATGTAATTTTACATTAAAGTAAAAAGAAAACAACTGATCACTATCTTGCTAGGAGTAGTTAAGCTTGCCTTTTTTTTTTTTTAATGATTTTATTGGGGAATTGGGGGAGGGGAAAGACAAGTTGCTGTCCTTTTTGTTCTTCAGTCTAGTTGTGGAGGACGTTGCTTCACTGGCCCATGTTGGTATTGTGATCATTGTGCTCTTCCCGGGTGAGACATTCAATCGCTGGCCATTGGACAGCGGCTCACAGCAGCCCACTGCAGCAGGGGCTGCAGCCTACGCAGTTGCTGGCGACCTACCACAGCCTGGCTCCAGGCCAAGCTGTAGTTCACCATCTTAGCTGTAGAGGGCATAGTGTCACTGGCCCACATGTGGGATCCGAACCGGGTCCTGCTGCTCAGAGCTGGCATCCCAAGCCAACTCTTAACCAATGCACCACTTGGCTGGCCCGGTGATGGAAGATTTTGATGGTTTTTTTTCTCTGTCCATTTTCTCATCAGACCAAAGAGAACCCTGTACAGTAAGAAATATGGCGTGGACCTCATCAGATACACTCATGCAGCAAACACAGTTGTTTACAGCTCTAACAAAATAGACGGTAAGCAAACCTTCTTTTTAGGAGATTATGGCTGTTTCCTTTGTTAAATAGTTCATGGAATGTTTGTGACTACATCTATTTTGGTTATAGTTGCTTTAAAATTTTCCTATGATGTTAGCAATGCTAATAACATTGTTATGACTGAAGAGATGCTGGAAGCAAACCATTAGTGTTTTGAAGGACTTGAAACTGAGCATGAAAGAGTGGAAACTGGGAATAGGAGTGACAAATTATATTTATGGTTTATACTTCTTGAAACTTGAAAAAATTCTTTCAGAACAAATAAAAGGAAAGAATACTTGACACACAGCAAGGGTAAACAACAGTACTTCCTGTTCAAAATGTAGAGATCTAAGAAAAATTTTCACAAATGCTAGAGGTATGATAATTTTTGGGGATCTTAGAAGAGTTTTTGGTGTATGCCCAACCTTTTATGGTCTGAGTCATAAAGGATAGTGTACTGACTTTGGTTATCTTTGATTCTGGGGATATTTTTTGCTCTGAATTTTACCCTTTTTCCCTTTACTTTTAAATAAAGCTAATATCTTTGAAGGGTAAAAAAATTATTTGTAGAAATTAAACTTGTGAATACCTTTCTCTAATAAACGGTCTCTGTTTTTATTTGCATTTCACCTGAGATAAGTCATTTTCACTCGACAGATCATCTTGGTAATTGAGCAGTAACACTCACTTTCATGTTAGGACTTTTTTTTTTGTTTTCATTTAACTTATCTTACTGATTATTGATTTTTTTTTTTTTTTCGCTTTTTGCAGTAAGATTTTTCTGATGTCATTCAACAAAGATTGTTTAGACTGCTATTTTGGCTATGCCTATCTCAGAGCAGGTGGGCAGGTCTGTTTTTGTTTTACATTTTTCTGCCTGTACTTGACTTTTAGTAAGTATATCATTTCTACTTTCCATGACTCTATTTCAGAAGTAGTTTTCTAAGTAAGTGTGCATTTCATGCTTTTGGACAAGAATATAAAACATTAGGATCCTGAGGAAACATATCTCTGATCTCTGCATGACTGGTATATTTCTTCTGTTGGGGTGTTTTTCTGGGTGGTTAAATGAGGATTGTCCAAATGTGGTGCAAGATGAGGCAAATGTGTGGCACTTGCAGCTTTGCTGCCAGGCCTCTGCTGTGAGGATGTGGCCTTTCCTGTCTCGAGTGCATCCTGAAGAGTTCCTCCAACGCTTCGTTTCATTTTGCCTGATTCCAGGCTGAGGTAGTAGTTTGTACAGTTTGAGGGTCTATGATACCACCCGGTACAGGAGATAACTGTACAGGCCACTGCCTTGCCAGGAACAGCGCGCCAGCTACCGAGTGGGGCGGAGAGGATGGCGACACCCTGCCCATCTCTGGGAAACCAGGTAATGGGGAGGAAGCCTTTTTCTGCTTAGGGCAGGTGAGTAGTTCCTAGCAATAGAATAACCAGGAAGACTTTGTAGTTGTCATTCAAGAACTTGGAAGATGTTTTCAAGGAAAATCATGTAGAATTCAGTTTTGGAACATACAAAGACTAGCTTTTTCCCTCTCTCAGGTTAAATGCCCTCTTATTAGAAAATACCCCTGTGAACCACTAGGGTGACTTGGTGCTTTCAGCTTCTTTGTTCCTATGTTCTGTTTGCCTCCAGAATGTTCTTTCTGTGCTTTCCTTTCTGCATTTTGGCACCATTTCCTATTACCTCTTTCTGCACAATTGTTCCTTATTCATAGTCTTTAGGGGCAGAGTACTCTCCAGTTCTATTCTTCATGGTACTTCATTCCCTTCCCACCATCATTTTTTTTGTTTGTTTACTTTTTCAGATAGAATCATTTGGTTTTTAAGAGTGTCTTATTTTACCCAAGCACAAATCTTTATGATTATTCCTTTCTTGATATTGTCAAAAATCTCACTGCTATGACTTGGTATAATAGTTCATGAGTTTGGTTTTGAAATGTCTTGAGATCTTTTAAACCCAAATTTTTTTCACTTCTTTTGGCTACATTATTATTATTGTTGTTATTCTTTTTAACTCACTTCTCTGGTACAAGGGACGAGTGTGGATGGTTGGCTAATTAGAAAAGAAGTAGTAGGACATCTCTCCATTTTGTTTAGTTTTAATGTAAATTGTATATCCAATTAACATTCAGGTGAGGTTAGGGTTGCATCCACACAGTGTTAGAGAAATCTGGACAGAAGTATTATGCCAGAGTCCAGCCTGATGGCTCAGCTTGGCATGGCTGCTTAATTCTTTGAGCCTGTTTCCTCAGCAGCCAAATGTTTTTCTTTAAGACTTGCTATTAAAGAAACTATTGTGATATTGTGGGGGTGGTAGGGGACGGACAGGGAATATTTGCAGAACAAGTTGCATTGTAACTACTCGTATGCAGAAGCCATATGAGATTGGTAGTCAATGATTTTAAACATTGCTCTATATGCTGTTAACTTAAGAACTCTGCTTTTGAATTATGTCATATCTGTAGTGCCCACTCTTCAGCTGTGGATAGGAATTATGCACCGGTATTTATTCACACCTTGCTTGGCTATGGAAAATAATGAATTCTTTGACCTTGTCTTTTCAAGATGAAAATGCAAAGTAAATTCTTTTAAAAATAGGATATGATACCATCATGCCTTATTTGTCTTCTTACAGATACTATTCGTTACCTGTCCTTGCATGACAACAAATACATCAGATATTTTCCTGGACATAGCAAAAGGTAAGGCCCAAATGTTACAGAAGTATATAATTCTTTTCTCCCTGAGGTTATCCAAACAACAGAAGAATGGAAATATTTTTATCAGTGAACTAAAGCTAGTTCCTCACTGCTGTTTGGCATTCCTCTTAGTCTTCTCTTGTTAATCCCCCCTGAACAGTCAGCTCTTGATTAACTGAGGTTGTGGAGGCAGGGGTAGGATTTCATAGATAAACAAATCTTAAAATATAATTAGGAAAAAAGTAGGTTAAAGATATTCAGTAGAAACCTATGTAGTAAATATTACACTTAGAATTTAGGAACCCCAAATATCATATATCCTTTAATGAAAGGATCATTTACATATATGAGGCCTTCTAGTATTGGTGGCCCCCATTTCAGCAGGTTCCCGCTCTACATAAACTATGCAAAGATCTTAATGAGGATGCAAAAATTAATACTTGTCCTTTGTTACTTTTGAAAGTTAAGCTTGTTTCCTCATTCTATTTTGTAATGCAGGTTGTTTCTCCCTGTCTTCTACCCCAATTGCCCCAGTATTTTTTCTCGTTTTTCAAGTTTTGGTTGAATGTTAAACACTTTTTCCTTGGATGATATTTTAATCATGGGGAAAGGGGGTATTTTCCCCCTGCTTTCATTAGCAAATGTTTGGAAAGCCAGCTTGGAGTGGTTGAGAACCCTGACAGGAGGTTGGCCAAGAGCACGGTTTTCTGCCACACTTCTGATTGGGCAGGGCATTTCTATGTTGGTGAAGATAAGAGGAGGCAGCTGGTGGTTACTGTGCAGTTCCACAGAAAGAAGGGCTTGTGACAGGTAGATGTTTTCGCTTGTTTGTAATTAAATTAATGTTCACAAATGTACTGTCTGTAATTAAGAGTTGACTGCAGTTATTCAAAATTCTTTCCAATCTTCCCAATTATACAACCTCAACCTCCTGATTCTTAGTAGATGACTTTGTCTCTCCTTTTTTGAGAAAAATCAAAGCCATCCAAAATGAGTTCTTTTCAGATTCTATTCCTTTCACCTAAATTCTTCTCTTCCTTGGAACCCTTTCCTTGAGAAATAAGGAACCTTTCTGCTATGACAAAATCAGCTTCTCTCTTTCTGCTTGCTGCCATCTCCTTAACTGTACTTTTCCTTGCTGCCTACAAACTTTCTTGGTCTTCCTTATCTTAAATCTATTTCTTGAGCCTGTTGCCCACTCCTTTTCACTGTCAAACATGAAAGAATAATCTGCATACTCTCATCTCCACTTCCTCACACTCAGTCACTATTTTAAATCACTCTCCCATCTAGTTCCAGAGTCATGGGGCTTTTTTCAAGCTGCCTCCAGTCAAAATCCATTGCCTTGGGCTTTTTTTTCCTGTGTTCAAACTTGCAGTGAAGTGTTTTTTCCCCCTTTGGCAGCTGACTTCCCATCTTGGTTTTGTTCTTGCTATTTTTGGCCTCTTTCCTTTTGACTCTAAAATGAACCAGATTCTCTCCTAGCTTTCTCCACTTCTTGGTATTTTCTCAAATATCTCCACTGTTTTCATTTACCTCTATTCAGATAGCTTCCCAAATCAGTATTTTTAGCTCATGTCTGTCATGATTTCCAGACTCATCTTCCACCCACAGGTTTTATACACATCTATGCAGATCTGATGGGATCCCACCTGACAGGTCCGACACTCCATCCATCGTTGTATTCCTTGGGCCAGCTGCTCTCTGTCTGCCTGATGTTTCTTCATCTCTGTCCTTTCCAATTCTCCCAACTTGAAGCCTATGTTGTCTGTTCACTGCCTTTCCCCTGCCTTCACATCCACTGAGATGTTAAGTCTTATTGATTCTACCTTGGTTTAACCTCAGGTGTCATTCTTCTCCATATTCTCTCTTTTGCTTCTGTTCTGATTTAATGCTGTCAGGTGAATTAGTGTCAAATCCTAATTAATCTCCCTATCCCTCACCATCCTGCTTCGGCATCCTGAATTACAGTTCTGACCACTTCACAGCCTCCCTCAGGAAGCCTTAATGGTTTTCCACACCTGCCTGCTCTTTCCCCTTGGAGTTAGGTTCTCTTCCCTCTGCCTTGGACACGTTTGCCCAGTGTTATCTCCCACCACTGCAGTTCAGGTGCACTGAACATGTGCCTCATACCTTCCTATCTTGCACCTTCTGGAAAGACATCTCCCATTGAAACCCTGTTGGCCACAGGTGCTGGTTCTTCCAGAAAGCCTTCCTTGACCCTCTCTGGGAGTTGCCTGACTAGACGGTTAAGCTTCTGTAGAGTTGAGGTCTTGTTCCTCTTTTGTATTCCTTGTACCTCTCAGCATAGAGTCTTGTGCCAAGATAGACTTCCTTTGAGCTTTTGACTTGAATACCATGGCATAAAATTTTATGTCTGTATGCATTCTGCTCATCTGTTTCAATATTGCCTCAGCTTTCCAAGGAAATTTTGGCTCACGGTGGCTTTTAAATTTTTAAGTGGAGGAGCTAGTGCAAGCATTGAGTTTTATTGGAAACCTTTTTTTTTTTTTGGCAAAAACTTTTTAAGAAAAAAAGTAAATTTTCTCATTTTCTATTCATGGCATACATTTTAATTCTTTCTAGTATAACCAAAACCTCTTGAACCCCCTTCTAGATTAGGGAAAAAAGAAAATCCATTCACAAATAAGCTGTGCAATTCAATCACCTTTTTTTTACTTCAGACTTTTGTTTGTCAAAATGAAACAGTGCAATATGCACATTTCCTCTATAATCTTCATCTGTGATACCAGCTCCTGTACCTCTGAAGTGTTTTGCAGCCGAGCCAGAATGTGGAACTGCTTGTCCATAACACCCAGAAGGAAGAGCCACCTGAATGTCCGTTTTCACAAGGGCTCTCTCCATAAGTGGTACTATAGAATTGCAGGCATTGTACAGGTCATAGCCCACGGCCCTTTAGGACCCCATGTTTGGGCCATGGTGTGCTCTGAGAGGCAGGTAAAATGGATTCACATATGGTCCTTCTCAGCAGGCCAGGCCCACATGCTAGGGAGATGGCAGGTGTCCCTTCAGAGCACGGCATGGCAGAGTGAGAACATGAGCAGAGGGGACAGGAGAGCTCAGGATGAGCCCTTGGAAGAAATATTTTTCAGTGAGTGATTCTCAATGGTATAACCATAAAAAGGGACCTAAATTGGAAATACAGTTGCTATTAGCACAGGTCTGTCGCACTCTAAGTGTAGTGTCCAAACCAGCAGTCTCACCATCCCCTAGGAGCTTGTTAGAAACTCAAATTCTCAGACCTAAAAATCCAGACCTGTTGGATTAGTTCTGGGAGTGGATTGCAGCAGTCTGTTTTAACCCACCATGTGATGCTGACACCGCTCAGGTTTAGAATATTGGTATAGTGCACAAACCTCTAGTTAAAGGATCATGCTTTTTTTTTTTTAATTAGTAGTACTGAACTACTATAAATTCACCCTTTTAAAGTATATGGTTCAGTGGTTTTTACAGAGTTGGGCAGCCATCGCCACTATCTAATTCTAGAATATTTTCATCATCCCAAAGAGAAACCTTGTACCCGTTAGCAGCCACTCCCACTATTCACCCTTTTCCCTGTCCCTGGCAACCACTAATCTACTTTCTGTCTCTATAGCTTTGCCTCTTCTGGACATTTTGTATAAATGGAATCAGACAATATGTGTGGCCATTTTTGTTTGACTTCTTTCACTTACCATGTTTCCAAGGTTCATACATGTAACATAAATCACTGCTTCATTTTTTTATTATTGAATAATATTTCATTGTATGGATATGTACAACATTTTGTGTATCCATTCTTAGTTGATGGACATTTGGGTTTTTAATTTTTAACTTATGAATAATATTGCTGTGAATGTATGTGTATATTTTTGTGTGGATACATATTTTCATTTTTCTTGGTATATACCTAGGATTGGAATTTCTGGGTCACATAGCAATGCTTATCTTTAAATTTTTTTTTTTTTTTTTTTAAGGATTTTATTGGGGAATTGTGGGAGGGGAACAGCGCTGGGGAATCGGGGGAAGGGGAACAGACAAGTTGCTGTCCTTTTGTTTTTCAGTCTAGTTGTGGAGGACGTCGCTTCACTGGCCAATGTTCGTATTATCATTGCGCTCTTCCCGGGTGAGGCAGATCAGTCGCCAGCCTCTGGACAGCTGCTCACAGTGGCTCTTGGCAGTTCACACCGGCTGCCGGCCGCTCACGCTGGCTGCCGGCCACACACGGTAGCTTATGGCAGCCTACTGCAGCAGGGGCTGCAGCCTACGCTGTTGCCGGCGACTCATGGCAGCCCAGCTCCAAGTTGAGCTGTTGTTCACCATCTTAGCTGTAGAGGGCAGTGTCACTGGGGATCCGAACTGGGGCCCTGCTGCTCAGAGTTGGTGTCCCAAGCCAGCTCTTAACCAATGCGCCACTCGGCCAGCCCTTTAATTTTTTGAGGAACTGTAAAACTTTTCCAAAGCAACTGTACCATATTACATTCCCACCAGCAATGTATGAGGGTTCAATTTCTCCACATCCTCACCAATACTTACCTCCTTTTTTTTTTAATCTCTCTTTTGGATTATAGCAATGCTAATGGTTATGAAGTGATATCTCATTGTGGTTTGATTTGCATTGGAATCATACATTTTTATGCTATAGCTTTAAGTTCTTTTTTTTTTATTATTATAGTAGTTACCTTTGATTATTCCAAATTGCTTCTGGATTCTTTTGATTATTCCAGATTCTTAAAATGGCAGTTTGGGGAGAACAGATATATATAGATAAGCTGGTAGAGTGGCTTAAAGTTCACATCCAAGTTTTGCAACTGTTTTGCTTCAACTCCTATTTATCTCGATGCATTGCAGGGTGGTGGCCTTGTCCATGTCACCTGTGGATGACACTTTCATTTCTGGGTCCCTTGATAAGACGATTCGACTCTGGGATCTCCGGTCTCCTAATTGCCAGGTAATGTTACCTTACAGTTACACTTTGAGTGTTTTCTATGGTAAGCACTATCATTAGTTTTCCTTCTTAAGGAAGGGAGATAACAGTGGTTCCATTTTGGGATCCCTGAGTCTTTAAACTTTGGAGAAAATCTGTTTTCCTGGTAGGTAGCTGGTAGTTAAGCAAATGCCCTAATCCATTACATATTACGTTATGCTCTGTGTCTTACTGCTTTAAAAACAGTTTTCCAGGAGCCTTTGGGCTATAGCTTTTAACTTCAAGGGATTTGTTTTTATTTTAATTCAGTATTTATAAAATTGTATAGTTAGTGTTGATCTGAAATCAGCAGTATGGAGACCTGTTTTTTAAAAGCTTCATTTTAGTTTTTCTGTTCTCTAGGTAGGCTGGTATCTATTTATGTCACTTTCTTAGTTTTCATTGGGAAAAGTAATTTTTATAGTGATAGGTTCATTAACTTTTTTTTCTTGTTTCTTAGGGCCTCATGCATCTACAGGGCAAGCCAGTTTGTTCTTTTGATCCAGAAGGGTTAATTTTTGCTGCAGGTGTCAATTCTGAAATGGTCAAACTTTATGATCTTCGCTCTTTTGATAAGGTAAATCTTTTAATTTTTAAGCTATCTTGATATTATGGACATGTAATGTGAAATAGACATGTGAAATGGACATGTAAGAGCCTTTTCTATAGTAGAGGAGGTATGTGGTAGATATTAGAGTGTCAGAGCAGTTGTTCATCCTAGTCAAAGAGGATACTAAAGGGATAGAATGAGAGTTGGCTCTGGCAGAAGGAATTATTGATGTGCCTTGGGCCTGGGGCTGCTACTTTTACAGGGGCCGTTTGCGACCTTTAAGATGCAGTATGATCGGACTTGTGAGTGGACAGGACTTAAGTTCAGCAATGATGGCAAACTCATCCTCATCTCCACCAACGGCAGCTTTATCCGGCTCATTGATGCATTTAAAGGAGTGGTGATGCACACGTTTGGGGTGAGCTGACAACATTTGAGCATGGCTGTTTCCATGCTCATACCTTTCGGGCTGAGAATTGTGTTAGCTGGTTGGTGGAAACCAGTGGGTTATCCTTGACTCACTGATTGAGGCTGGACTTGCATTTTCTCCCTGCACATGAACTTATTTCTCTTGGATCTAAGACATTCACTTCTCACCCAGTGACCCAGGTTTGGTGTTTAGATATAAAATAATTTCTGACCATAAACGTTTTCTTGCCCTCTTGAATATGGAGTTGGGGGTAGGGGGTGAAATGTGAACAGTGGTGGCCAAGTTTGGAATTTTGGTGGGGCAGTGCATGAGAAGAGGGGTTCACAGAAAGGGAGGTGATGTGGGTGCTGGATCAGCGTTTCTAGGCAATTGTTTTTGTTAATGGTGCTATAACAGAGAACTGTTGTGCTTTTGTCTTAGGGTTATGCCAATAGCAAAGCTGTCACACTGGAGGCCTCATTTACTCCAGACTCCCAGTTTATTATGATTGGTAAGCTTCCCTTGGGGGGTTATTTCCCTCATACTGTGCATTTGTTTACTTCCATTATTTTTGTTTTAACTAATTATTATTTATTATTCCTGTGATAGATGTTCTATGATTTTTGTATAGCACAATATGTCAAAAGTATAGGGTCTTTAAACTATCCTGATTTTGTAGTTCTTTACTGGGAACTGGCATTAAAGGTCTTCCCTGAACCCGCATTAGAGTTAAACTCTACAAGTACTATTTTACTAGTAATAGTAACTTTCAGATGTAACCCTGCTTTCAGTCATCTTAATGGCTAGATGTTGGTATTGTCGTGATATTCAGTCTTCTTTTTAAATGAGAAAACTGAAGTTAGAGGGGAAGGATCAAATAATTAGGGTTAAGATTAATTTCCCAAAGTGTCCTTACTTTACTGCTTCTGTACTTCCCTTAGGTTCAGAGGATGGCAAGATCCATGTCTGGAATGGAGAGAGCGGTATAAAAGTAGCTGTGTTGGATGGCAAACACACAGGCCCCATTACCTGTTTGCAGTTCAACCCCAAGTTCATGACCTTTGCCAGTGCGTGTTCCAACATGGTATGTGAATGACGAGAGATGTCCTTTGCTGAATGGCCCTTTCCATTTGGGTGGTGGGTGTTTCAATGAGCACAGCAAGCTGTGTTCTAAATAGGTACATTACAAGCACCCAAGTTCATGTTTCTCAACTGGTGGAGTCCCTGTTTTACCTCTTATTTTCTGGTTTCTGATTGGGCTGGTCTTTCACTTTTACTTTTTATTTCTGTGATCTGGGATCACCTCTGAACTTCTGGGAGATCTTAGGCCCGTTTTTGCTCTGGCTCCTGGTTTTATACCCAAATTGCCTGGGCTATGCTTGACAGCTTTCTGGCTTCTTAAAATACTTTGAACAAGCCTTTTGTAGCTGCAACCTTTCAGTTTTCTGTTCCTCTCAGTTTATGCTGAATTCCTCAGAAATGCTTAGTTTGTTCATAACTCACCACTTAGAATTTCCTTCAGGTCCCTGTCTCTTCCTAGACAACACTAGCAGAACAAAGCTTCATGAGTCTCAGCCTCCAGTTTCCTCTCGGCATCTCCTAAACCTACCTGGGTATTTGGGGATGAGGCACTTCATTGCTACCCTACCCAGAGTACATTGCTTCTCCCCCACCTCCCCTTTTTAAACTAAGAACACAGTGTCAGAAAAAAAATGCAGCAAAACCATCCAATCCAATCCCTCTCATTGTTTACAGCTCAGGAAGGAGAGGTCCTGCCTGAGGTCACCTGGTAGATTAGCAGTGAGGCCAGGTTACCCAGACCCCCGCCTCTTGGATAGCACTACTTTTTTCCCTTAACCACTGTGCCACTGTGGTGGAAGGTTGACAGTGTTGGAGGGAAACCGAATCAGCTTACTTCCATGTAGACTGGGGAGTGTTTCTCCATAGATTGCCAGTCAGTTGGTCAGGAGGCTGCCACCAGCCATAACACCTCCATTATTGGAGTTGGACAGCTTGATGCAGTGGGAAGGGGTAAGAAGTGCCCTCAGCAGTTAAGGGAGAGGCTTGGCTTTTTAAAGTTGACTTTTGTTCTCTTTCCAGGCCTTCTGGTTGCCCACCATTGATGACTGACCCGGATGCTACTTGGCTGTTTCTGTACAGTGAGGGTGGCCAGCAGGAAAGAACTCAGAGGGGACTGAGATGGCAGTGGGATTGGATCATTTGATTGGGCTGGAGAGCAGCCTTCCACATGGCCCTCCCAAGGATGTGCTGTACATCTGCTCAAAAGAAAAAAATTACTTTGCTGAGCTTCTTCAAAAGGACTCTTGGTGCAGCAGATTCAATTGGGACTCAGATTTTCCAGCTGTCACTGCACTGAGCTCCTCCAGAGGAGTGACCGGACTCATGATTAGGTATAGTGGGGCCCTTCAGACGCCTTCAGTTTTGAATGTATTTGCTGCTGAGGAGCCGGTGAAGTTGTCAATTCTGCACATCCCTTCTCCCAACCCCACAAATGCATGGGAAGCCACAGTTCTGGTTTTGAGATGCTAGGGCAGCTCAGTGTCCCTTGCCCTCACCCTGCATGTCTTATTACTGGGTCTCCCTGTGTCATTGTGGTATAATCCACAACCATCATGTTAATTAGGTGCCAAACATTTACAAAAATATGTCTTCATATATCTTGGGGTCAGAAAGGGACAGATACAGAATGACCTTGCTTGTCAGGAAGCCTTGCAAAGTTAGTTGTTTGAGGCCCTAGGTGCTGGGTGGGAAAAGGTCCAAGAGCCTGAAAGGAAGAGAGGTAGCAGGTGAGTTCCTAGGGCTAGATTTGGCAGCAGCCTGGTGTGGTCCCTAGTCATCAAGACAAACCCTTCGTCCTCCTGGGTGCTTACCCAGCTTGGTTGTGTACAAAAGCAAAGTGGGAGTCTATTTTTGTACATGAGATACATCACACTTTCCTGTGGGCCAGTATTGTGGAGTAAGTCTGAGTTGTTTACACTGATGCCTTCCCTGCCCACCACAAATTATGTACATAGTCTCATAATACCACCCCTTCCCCAGCTCCCAGCCATGAGCTGGCTGTAGGCCTGTGTTATATGTTATATTTAGCCTTTTTATATATGAACTGGGATTTCTGTTGTTTGTATTTTAGCACAGTGTGTATACCTTCATTTAAATATATCTGTGTGTGCATACATACATATGTATATGTATATGTATGTATGCATATATATAAAATACCTGTTGTTTCTCAGAGTTCAGCCGAAGGACACGGAGTCCCACAGCCTGGGGGAAAGACTGCATCCTTGCTAATAGTGTTTGCCACAAGTGTTAGTGAGTCTTCCCTATTCCATTTTTCCCTTCAGAAGATTGAATGAAGCAAAGCTTCACGTGTTTGTTGTTCCCATGGCAGCTAAGTGAGGGTCTTGGGATGACTCCCTTGTGTTCCTCAAGCGCACTTTGGGGCCCTCTGCAGTATTAGCCCCCCTTTTTGCCTGGTGATGGCTCTGTCTGCGCCTATATATGTGTGACAGTCACTTTTGCATGCCTTTTGTGTCTGGCTTGCAGTATTTGGGGACAGGATGCTGAAAACAGGGCATTTTCAGTTTGTCTGAGGCTTCTTTACCAATTACAGGTCACTCCTGTTTACCTGGTATGTCTGCCTTCTTGTTTCTTTTCCTTGCCTTCTCTTGGGAGAGGGAGGGGTCCTGATCAGGGTTGAGATGAGCTGCTGCTGGCTCATGGCCTCTTCCTCCCCTGCATGGCCTTCTTAGAGCAGGATGAATGGCATGCTATTTCACTGAATTCCCAAACATTTTAGCAGGTAACATTCTCTGCAGATCCAGTAACTGACTCAAGGTTATGACTTGCTCAAGAGTACGTAGCTGCTGGGGGGTAAGCAAGCCATTATTGCCGCTGTTCAGCAGCAGTAATAGGCTGTGAATTGCTAGCAGTTACTGTTTTGTTTCCGTTGTTTTTAGCAATTATTTTTTGACTTGTTCCTCAAACTTGAAGGATAAGGGGCACGGATCTCTTCCAAACGTTGACTAGAATCTGCAGCTTCTGCAGTGCCACCCACTGTATAGCTTTGCCATGTCAGAGTGGAGGGACTTAGAAGCCAAATGATCTGAACTGTTACTGCCCACTCCTGGCTTTCCAGGGTAGAAAATTTATGGGCGGAATAACTTCAGAGAGTGCTCAGAACTAGGTTAACAAGAGGCTGCATAATTAACACATCTCTAACCAGAGCAGCCACCAAGCATGACTTGCCTGTCCGCAGGAAAATAACTTGTATTGAGCTGTGTGTCCAAAGCTGAGGTACCATGTTCTTTGAAAATATGCACTGCATGGCCTCTATTTTTGGGGACCTATGGCTGCAGAGCTGGCTCCTGAGGTGGGAAGGAAAGCGAAAAGATGCAGCTGGAAGTGACTGGAGAAGATGTGGTGGTGGGAATCAGACAGAATAAAGGGAAAAAGGAGGCTGTGGGCCAGAGAGGCTGAGGGCTGGGGCTGCGAGCATGCTCACAGTGGAAACAGGTGCTTGCTCATGGGGGAGGGGCTGCTCACCATGCTCTCAAGAGTCAGGGCCAAAGCCACCAATTTGTAGGACAGTAACACTGCACCACTCAACCACCAGCCAATGGGGTATTTTTTTTAGAAAAAACTTCCCTGTTGAAATTTAAATTTAATTAAGGAAAATCTGGTAATTTTTAAAAGACTCAGTTTGCCACCCAAATGCTACCACTGTTAATCTTTTGGTGTTAAATGTTCCTCTAGACATTTCTGTGTGTAGATTTTTGGTGTTTACATAGTTGTTATTCTACTGTATATACAATTTTATGTCCCTTTTGTACTTAACATATAAACATTTTTTCCATGTTATCTGTCTTAAACAGATTTTTATGGCTACAGCCTCTTCCATTGAGTTTTTGTAGCATTGATTGCCTGGTTGCTAGAGTTGGAGGGAAGGATGGGTTGTCTCCTGGTTCATATTGGGACTTGCTGTAATACTATGTGGATGGATTGTTGGTCTCCCTGGGACTGCTCCAGACTGTCCCTGGTGACTAAGGCCTATGGGCTGGTGAGAGGAACCCCATGACCCAGCCCTCAATGGATAGTCCTGGGTCTCCTCAACCCCAGGCTCTCATAAGCAATCATATAGCCAGAAATGAGTGACTGGGAAAGGCCGGCCCAAGCCAGCCTTGATCTTCAAAGACTGCATCTAGCGTGTACCTCAGGCTGCCTTTCATCTGCACTGTTACCTTGCCCTTGATCACATTGGCAGCCTCTAGTTGGAATAAGGTTCATCCTGCTAGGCCCTGGCTTCTGGGGGCAAGGATAGTGGGACAGGGGCCTCATGTTTGAGGCTCCTGCACCAGTTCTGGCAGAAGGCCTGGCCAGTTACTTGGTGTAACCCATTGGCAGTCTGGAGCGTTGGTAACTCCTAGAGCCAGTTCTCTAGCTTTATCAGCTGCAGGACCTGCTGTCTGCCTCCTTCCTGGCCCTTCTGAATCAGAAGACAGCTTTGGGCCTGTCATTTTGCCCATAGTAATTGGAGGTTGGCTAAGGGCTCTGAGGGGCAGCAGAGGGAACCTCTAGCTTGTGAGTGGTAGGGCATGCGTATGCATCCAGGACAGATTGCTCAAGGAGGAAGAGACCCCTTCACAGCCTGGTGGGAGGGCTGCTGCAGCGTCTGGCTCTGCTGAGACATGCACAAGTAGGTTAGTGTAGCTGCCCCTGCAGCAGTCACTCACTCCTGTCAAGGTTTGGCTTGCTTACAGTGGAAAGACCCACTGCACCTGCTCCCCAGGGTTCAGCCTTTGGTTTGAGGAGTGAGGAGTTTAGTGGGCTGGGTCAGAGGCAGAGCAAGGGGGCTGTGGGGCCTAGCTGGCCGAGCTGTTGATGTGGGTAAGAGGCAGACACAGCATCTGCTCGCCTTGGGGTGCGGAAGGAGACTGCTGAGGAAAGGGGAAGTAAAACTGCAGGCTGGTAGGGCACACTCCTGCATTTGATAGCTGCCTAAGTAGAGGGTTCTTGGAGAGGCTGCCCAGGGCTTTTGGGGCCAACCACAGTTTATCAGGGCCCAGCTATGGATAGCTGTAGACCCAGAAGTGCTGGGCTGTGGAATATGGCGAAAAATGAGAAATTTTCTAGTTTTTCCTATCTTGTCCCTGGAGAATGTATAGGAAATGGAGTCTAAAATAAGTTAATGGGGAAGAAAAACATGTCTGAGAGCCTCCTCAACGAGTTAAACACAGGTTTTTCTATCAATTCTGGGGCCCACTGGCCCTTGTCCTTCCTGGCTGCCGTCTAGGGCTGTAAATTGCCAGGTAAGAACTCATCTCAAATGTAAACTATAAAGTAGGAGTGCATCAAGGAAGAATTGGGTAATGCAGAGGGCATGAAAGTGGTTGCCTGTAACTGAACAAATACTTGACCAGCACCTGAACCTTGGCAAGTGCTAGATGATAAAATACTCTGGTGGGGAAGATGAAGACGTAAGCTACACTGCTTATCAAAACGCAAGCCCTGGAGCCCCAAATGGCTTGTCTCCAGCTAAGTCTAGCTTTAAAATTTGCATTCAAAAACAAGTTAAATGGCAGCCCCTCTGGTACCTCAAGTCCAGAACTCAGATGGTGTGGAGACCTTTCTGTTCTGGGCAACAATTCTCTCACCTCAAGCTTGGAACTAGGGAGGCCATAGAGGGAAAAAAAAAGTCCTGACTATATGCAAGCTTGCAAGGTGATGCTAAGACTAATTCTTTTGGAAGGTATAAAAGCAAGAGGTACACTGTAATGCCAAACTGTACAGCACTTCACGATTCACAAGGGCTCTTCTGCACACAAATATTTAATCGTAGGGAGATGATGGGGAGCAAACAGACATTGGGGCATCCCCCTAGGGTAGGGCTGGGGCCTGGAAGGTGCAGTCGAAGAGGCCAGTGCAGAGGCAGGAGCAGCAATCGGAGGGCATTTCCCACTTGGCCACCGGAGTCTCCTGTTGCTCCTTTTGTTCTCCCCCAACTTTATCCCCAGGGCCTGTGCCTTGGCAGAGGGAAGCAGCGCAGGCCCTGAGCTGGTTTCTCCCAAGTGGCTGCTTCAAGCTACTGTTGAGCAGATGAGCGGCTGTCCATAGCTTCCCACAGGCTCCCTGCATGAGCTTTGGGGGTTACTGAGTAGATACCCTGACATGGATTGGAAACTTGTATCCAAACACAGGCTATCTGCCCCTCCCGGCATCCTTGGCCAATTCATTTAGTCCAGCTGTCCCTATCTGGGAATAATATATTGGGGCTGTTAAGGATCCTTATGTGGGCATCCTAAGTTGTACAGTAATTCTGCCAGGGGAATGTTAACATTAGCACTATTTCCCTGCCTGCCACAGGGGGGGCCCGGGGAGCAGGGTTCCCCACGCTCTGTACTTCTGACTGCCTGGTATAAATGCTCCCCTTGAAAGGGGTTGGGGTAGGGTGGGGTGGTGAGAATCCTGGGCTGTGTCTGGTGCCAGGGCGGACAGGCCTGCTGCTGGCCACGGTGGAGGGATGCCCACACCACCGGGCCCCGAGTGGTTCTGGGATGTGGTCTCTGAATCCTCAATGGCTACTGCTCCCTTGGTGCTGACTGTTCAAGGGAATCACGAACACAGAGATGTCGTCGTAGGATACCTGCCCTTCCCCTGTGAGGCTGCCGTCCTTTCCCTGTGTGCTGTGGATTAGCATTTGGGCCAGCTCCGAGAACCTGTGGGGACCATACTGCGGATGTACTCGGGGGCCAGAGCAAAGAGCCAAGGCCAGCCCTCAGAGAAAACCTACTGTACTAGGCTAGACACTTGGGGACCCAAGCAATGCAGTCCAACTGTGGGGCCAGAGATTTTTGGGACCCACTGTCAACCCCACCCCCAGGCAGCACCAATCTTGACCACCTGCTCTTAGCTGGACTCATCGTCATTGCTGTCTTAGCCGTAACTACTTCTTGGTGTTGCTGCCGGGACCAACCCAGGCCCAGGCAGGTCCCCAGCAATTACAGTACCTGTGTGGGTCCTCTCGATTGCCAGGGAGGAAGCTCCGCACCAGCCGTGCCACCTGCTCATTGGACAGGACATCCCAGAGACCATCAGTTGCCATGATAACCACATCCTCCTCCTGCAGCTCCAGCTGGTCCACATCCAGTACTGTCACCTGCAAGTTAAGCCTGAGGATCCCTCAGCGTTCCCTTCCTGGCTCCCACCAGGTTCATTGTCTGCCTTTCTGGGCAGATGGCAGCTGGGGTGGGCTGCTCCCCCCTCACCTGTGGGACAGAGAGCAAGAAGGGCTTGAGCTGAATGTCTGTGTCCAGGACTCTGAGCTGATGGTCTCCCAGGCCCCGGGAGACGGCCAGTGTTCCCAGTAACCGAGCCTGGGGACAAGGGAGGTGTGAGGTGACAGCAAACAGCCCCAGCAAATGCACAAGTAAAGCATAGTGGTGGACTATGACCCTTGGGCACCCTGGGCTGAGGGAGAGACATCCTGTGGCCTTGGAGCAGACCCCAGGACATCAGTCACAGCCACCAAGGAACAAAGGAGCTCCCACCTCTGCCTGGGCAACTGAAGAGGGATTCTTGGAGGGAGCCATTCACTGACCTGCCTACCCTGTCCGTGGATCAGTGGGTACTTGAGATCTGACTTCTCCACGCACTTGTAGCTCCTACCGGGAGCAGATCCAGCATCAGCCTGGGCTCTACTCCACCTCCTCCTCCCACAGGACCCACCCTGCCCAGGTGGAAGGGGACTGCCCCAGGCCACACAGCTGGGCCTGGACCCCAAGGTTCTCCCCACTGTATCTCCCCACTCCCACCTTGCTCACCAGCCACTCATGTGGTGATCCCTGAACAAAACCTTCTGTCCCAAGTCATCCCCCTTCAGTCGCCGAGGGAACTCCAGTCGGGTGAACTCACCAGCCAGAAGCTCGGGATAGACAAAGGCCTGGGGTAGGGAGGCCATGCTCAGATCAGGCTCCCTCTGATGGCCTCGAGTTGGGACTCCACAGCCTCCCCCTGCCAAGGGCACCTACCAACTGCTGGATCCGCTGCCGCTCAGTCTCGGGGGTGAATTCAGAGCTCAGGGGCCTCACCTCATCTCTCCGCACCAAGATGGCCCTGGATGGGATTGGTGAGGAGAGGGGGAGGTCTCTGGCGCAACCTCCCACCTCACCCATGGCCTCCCTCCTCCAACCACTAGGGGCCAGCGCTGCCCATGCCAATCCCTTGTTTGAAGCCCTCCATGGCTGCCTACAGCCTGCAGGGTAGACTCAGACTCAGCCCTTTGGCCTGGCACATGAAGTCCTTGCCCTTCTTGGCATCTTCTGTCCACCATCATACTCCACACATGCCAGGTATACAAACAGCTCAGCCAGACAATCCTTGCCATTTCCATCCCTCTACTTCCAGCCCCCTTTCACTATCCCCACTGCCCCTAACGCCTGCCCTGTTCCACCCTATCCTACCAACCCTCCAGGGCTCACTCACCTGCTATCCCCGGCATTGGCCACGTACAGCTTTCCCTGCAGGGACACAGCCACCAGGGCTGTGCAGCCGCCCACTTGGCCTGAGGCCTCCAGCTCCCGCCCTATCACCTCATCCTGGGGCAAACAGAGGCCACTTTAAGCTGCTGTCCCCAATCCCCAACCTGCAGTTCACTTCCCCACCAGTATGCCTGGTAGTCCCAGCCTGAAGTCTAATTGTGATTCCCCGATCACTGTTGTCAGGAGATCTGGAAGTATCCCTTGGGAGGGAGGGAAACCATATTTAAAACGATGAGAAAGAGAAACCAGCCCCTGCACCAAGGACCAATAGGGTGTGCAGTGAGATGATGCAGGTAAAAGCACCTAGAAAATAGTAGGTGCTGGAAAAATGGGAGGGGTTATGATGATGATGGCCATTAGTAAGGAATGAACCAATCCAATCTTGTCCTTCCAATCCAAAGATCCAGGTGATGATCACAGTGCACAGGGATACCCCATAACCCAGAGTCCCTCAGGTCCCTGGGGACAAAACCTTTCTGCCTTTTCTACCGGAAAGCCACACTTACACATTCCTGGAAGGCGCTCTCCAGAGCACCAATCACCAAGTCTTCTGTCCTAATGCCCTTTTCCTCCACAAATTGGGGGTCACTGGGGCAGACACAGCGGCCGCTGAGGTGCATGGGGGGCTGAGTGGTCACCATGCCTTCTACTATGGCTTCCAGTTGTTGGCGCAGGCAGGAGTGCAGGGTGTTGGCAGCCAGGATGGCTGCAGCTGGACCACCGTGCCCATCAAACAGTGCCCAATAATGACCTGTCAGGAACTGTACAGAAATGGCTTGATGTAAGGCTCTTTCTGGCTTCCCCAGTTGACCCCTGGCTCAGCATGGGGCACTAGGGCAAGAACCTCAGCCTGAAGTCCTGGCCCCAGCCTATAAAAAGGGCTTAGGCCCAGTTGTGCTCACCTCCTCGGGGCACAAGGTCAGCCACTCCTGGTCCTCTTCAGTTCCAAACTCACATCTCCGGATGCATAGCTTCCCACAGGCAGCCTGATCCTCATTGAACTCAGATTTCTCTGCATTGATGATCCTGAGGCCAGGAAGTGATCCGTGACCCTTCAGGGACACACCCATGTCCCTGTGGGCACAGAGACCACAGCTGGTGCAGAGAGGGAAGAGCCCTCCCTCTGGGGCAGTAGCCCCCATGCTGTGACTTATATGTGGACAAAGATGGTGTAAGTTTGCTAACTGTTCAGTGACCTCCTGGCTAAGGCAAAACTCAGGGCCCAGCCCCTCTGGAGCTGACCTGCTGCAGGGGTGGGAGTGGGGGGTGGGGGTGGGGAGTCTTGGAGATAAGGCTGGGGCTGCCTGGGGAGTTCCGGGGCTCCCTTGCCTATCTCCTGCCCATCTCAGCCGGAATCCCTGTCTCATATTGCATGCGCCATAACCCAGGGTGAAGGGTGGTGGTGGTGGTGTTTTGGGGCTGGGGTGGGAGGTAATCTCCAAAGCCCAGGAAGCTGACACCCTACCCAGTGTCCCTGTCTCATGGGCAGGTCCTTCCCAACTTGCAGCCCTCTCTGAGAGAGGTTGGAGTCCCAAATAAAAAGCCGAGGTGGGATAGGGGGAGGTTGTCAGGAGTCCAGAGGTGAGGACAAGGGGGAGTTAGTTAGCTACAAGGTTGGGGGAAGGGGAGGGGTGTCAATCACTCAGTTTAGCTTGTTTTCTATATAGCTCAGCACAGTTCCCCAAGCTAGATCAGCAGGGGTCCGGGGTCGGGGATCTCTGGACAAGGGTCGCCGGAGTGGAGCGTGTCGGATGGAGGGCACTCGGGGGTGGGACACTCACTCTGCGTAGCCTGCATTCCAGGGCAGCGCGCGGCCCCGCGCTGGGCAGCGCACTGGCCGGGCCTCCGGGCGGCGCGGAGAGTCGGCTGTGCTGGAGCAGGAGCCCGAGCCGCGCAGGAAGCGGGGCCGTCGGTAGGGCACGGGGCTGGTTCGCGGCCTGGGTGGTCGCGGCGCGGGCAGCGGACCTCCGGGCAGGAAGCGGCGCCGGAACCAGCCGGCAGACATGGCGCGGAGGGCGGCAGGGGGCTACCTGCGGGTCGCTGGGCGGCAGGGCGGGCCGGACGCCATCCGGCCGCCCGCTCCGGGGAGGAGGAAGCCGGCTAGGGGGCGGGGCGGGACGGGACGGGGCGGGGACTCCCCCCAAACCCAACCTCGTCTGGGAGCCCGTGCGCGGCCTGGTGCTGTGGAGCTTGTCAAGCCTCATGACGACCCTAATAAGAAAACGCTGTTACCATCCCCACTTTACAGGCCAGGAAGCTGAGGCCTAGTATGGGAAGTCGCTTGCTCCGCGTCACACAGTAACTTGAGCAGGCTGATTGTGGGGCACCAGCCTTCGAGAGGGAAAAGTTCCTCCTCCCTACCCAACGATGCTGTGGGGGTTCAGAGCACACCCTGGACCTCTAGGCTGGGTCAGTGTCCACAGCAGAGCCTCAGGTCTCCTCCTGCTGGGTCCGGACCTTACGCAAGGGTAAGATGGGAACAGGATGTCCTTAGAGGTGTCAGACTGAAACATTGAGTAAGCGTCTCAAGAACACAGTGTTCCCTCAGGTGGCCTCCATTCCTCACCCGCCCAGCCTGGCCCCTCCACCCCCAGAAGGAGCTTGGTGGTCACACTGGCTTTATTTAGACTGAGACCCCGCTACTACCCTTGGCCAGTCTCCGGCATGGCTGCTGCTCCAATGAATGTGTCTTCTATGGACAGACAGCAGGATCCTTACTCGTGTGAGTGACTGATGAACAATAGGAATCGTAGTCACCAAAAGGCTCCAACTGGTCAAAGTTCATACCTGGGACTAAAAGAAGTGAGAATTTCATCTGGGCTGCAGGCTAGATACTGCAGTCTCTGAATCCCTGGCTAGCTGTCACTGTGGGGTCAGCAGCAGTGTCCTCCTTCACATCTGCATGTTAACAGGGCGCTTTGCCATCCTCTGTCACTTAAGCCCAGCTTCTGTCCCATGAGAACTCCGAGGCCCACACAGGAGAAGTATCCTGCCGCCCAGTGCTGTGCTGTTTCCATTATGACAGTGCAGCTGACTCAAAACCCACAGCCCCAGGGGATTTCTCTTCCCCTTTCCTCCTCCAGGAAGGAAGCCTCGCCAACTCAAAGCCCCCAAGACCCACCGGGAGGAGTCTGTACCTTCTCATGTGCTCCTAAGCACAGTACATGCTCACTTCCTCTGGGTGGCCAGACCTGCCTCATTGGGAGTTCCCCCCTACGCAAAAAGGAAGATTCTTGAGGAAGAGAGCGGTGCCCAACACCCCTCCCTTAGATGACTCAGTTCCAAAGAAGACTGGGGGCTAATTGACTGAACTCATTTGTGGGTGCCAGGCCCCACGCTGGGCGCAGGAGCACAGCACAGGTGGACATGAGCTCCCCTGCAGTGATGGTGGAAGTCCTGGTGGATGGTACTTGAGCCAGCTGGCAAGGGGGAGGGGCAAAGTTAGGGAGGGCTTCCGAAAGGACACCAGAGCTATGTATGACCTGTCATTGGACAGAAATGGACCAGCGATCCAGGGTGGGGCAGACCCAATTTAGTCTGTGGGGCAACCTCCTGGTCCCCACCAGCCAATAGTTCAGAGGCTTTTAAAGTCTAAAATTACAGGAAACAACACAAACACAGTCTATTTCCCCAACTCACTGTCTTGAACTTCCCTATTGGGATGAAGGTCCCGTTCTCTAAGGTGTATTCAGTGAAGCTCCTGGTAGCCAGGTGTCACAGGTGGTCTATTGCCCAGCGTAGCCACTTTAAGTTTCCAAAGCCATGTGGAGCCCTATGGCAATCCAGTCCTTCCTGTTCCAGGGTGTCCTGGGTTCCTCAATGCCACCCAGGCTCCTCTGACCCCCTGAACTCCTGTGAGCCTCTGCTCTTGCCTGGATCCCAAGCCTGACTCCCTTGGTTTACTCCCTCATTTTGCTGAAGCACACCTCTAACAACTTTCTAAGAAAGGATGACGGGAAGATAATTTCCTCAGTCCTTGCAAGTCTGAAAAGGTTTGTATTCTGCCTTTGCTTTTGATTGATACTTTGGCTCAGAATTCTGACTGCTTTTGTCATTATCTTTGGACTCTTGCTGCTGCGATGAAATCCAGTGTCCCTATTATTCCCAGACCTTTGGATTGGCTTGTGTGTGTCTTTTTCTCTCTCCAGAAGTTTCCTGGTTCCTCTGTCTCTGGTGTCTGAAATTGTAGGTGAGGGGCATTAGGGTGGATATATCTTTATTCCAGGGCTGGCCCCTTCCTGGAGATCATGCACTGCCTCACTCTCTAGTGACACCCTTTTGACACCCTTCTTTCAACTGCTTGAATGAACCCAAATGTGTCTCCTGGCAGGAGGTGTCTCCTCAGCTATTCAGGCAGCATGTAAGGGATGGAACAAGACTGGAAAAAGGAGAAAGATTTTTATGCCACATTTTTTCCACTCACAATGAAAATAGCTTTTGTTGAGTTCCATATCTGTCCTTAACAAGTTTTAGTTTTTTGTATGTTTTTAAAGGTTTTTATTGAAATATAAGTAACATACAATATTATATTAGTTTCATGTGGACATCA